CAAGAAGAAACAAATCGTCCATGTAAAAGGGAACCCCTTAGGTATCAGTTTGATTTAATGCCTTTTTGACCTATGTTTGCAATAAACTTTTAATAAAAAGTCATATCAAAATAGACCTCGACAATCATGAAGGGCAAAAAAATAGTTGATATCATTATGAAGCTGAAACTTATTCTAGAACTTGCACTCTTTTCTTATATTTCTTGTATAATTTCTGAATTTTTCTACCATTTTCCAAATTTTCAGTTTGGCATTTCAATATTCTATCAAAACGTGTCTTTCTATCTGGCGGTGTAGTACGAATTTTCAAAATGCTTATAGCTGTGAATGTTGAAAAATAGAAAAGAAAACAAAGTGAAAAATGAGATATTATTTGAAAGAAGGAATATTTTGCTACAATTTGGTGTAAATTACGAAGTTAAGTGTAATTGTTATATTGTAAAGGATTTTCTTTCGAAACACGCTGAAAATGTTAAGAAGTGCGTAAAAAAATACACCCACACGCTATATTCTGGTAAAGGCCAAATGACTACTTGAACTAGACATGTAAATGAAATACAATTTAAAAGCTTAACCTTTGTTCTACAACATCGTGTTGGTTTTATGAAATGGTAATAAAATGAATTTTCTATGATTTTTCAAAAAAACATATTTATAGTTTACATTGATGCCATATTTTTCAATCAAGTTCCATACCGACGAAGTATGAAAGTACAGACAAAATATATAAATATAATAGATTTTCCCTTTGGAATTCATGGTTTTATTTTATACACGATTCAACTCATTTTTTTTTAAATACTTTTTTTTAGAACTTTGTCATTATTTGATATTGCAGTTTGTGTCATACTTAAGCGTTGCAGTAAAATTATCACAAGACAGCACAGTTTACATGTCCGTAAATTAATTCCTAAGTGTTAAAAAAGGTCAAATTTGTGAATGTGTGATAGTATATTGTCTTAGGGAGGGATAAATCGTACTTTGTAAAATATCACTCTGATTCAAACAAAAAAATCTCTGAAACTGACATTATGAAGATGCTTGATATCTTGATTGACAACATGTTTGGAGGACGTATTTTTCAACAAACAATCGGCGTTCCTATGGGAACCAACTGTGCTCCTCTTCTTGCCGACTTGTTCCTTTATTCATATGAGGATGACTTCATACAGATACTTCTTAGGAAGATAGAAAAGAAGTTAGCAGTATCCTTTAACTTTACTTACCGCTATATTATTCTCTCATTAAATAATTCAAAATGTGGTGACAATGTTGAACGCATCTATTCCATCGAACTTGAGGTAAAGGATACAACAAATACAGTTAAGTCTGCCGCATATCTTGACTTACATCTAGAAATTGACAATGAGGGTCGGTTGAATATACGACAAAACATGATTTCAGCTTCCCAATTGTGAACTTTCCATTTCTATGTTGTAACATTCCAGCAACGCCTGCATACGGAGTATATATCTCCCAATTGGTACGATATTCCAGGGCTTGTATTTCCTATCATGTTTTCTTTGATAGAGGGTTGCTGCTCACAAGGAAGCTATTAAACCAAGAGTTCCAAACGGTGAAGTTGAAATCATCCCTTCGTAAATTTTACGGACGCCATCAGGAGTCGGTTGACCTTTATGGAATATCCGTTTCACGATAGCGGATATGTTCCAATTGTCGTAACTACAATCCCATTCCCTTTTCCCCGAATGTGACCTTCCGAATAAGACTTGTTACCGGTTTTGTACTGACATGAGCAACACCCAGTATTTGGTGGGGTTCGTGTTGCTCAGTCTTTAGTTTTCTATTTTGTGTTTTGTGTACTGTTGTTTTTCTGTTGGTCTTTTTCTTCTTTAGCCATGGCGTTTTCAGTTTTTTTTTCGATTTTGCGAGTTTGGATGTCCCTTTGGTATCTTTCGCCGTTCTTTTAAACTGTTTCTGATGAAAATGCATATTGCACCAAGGCATTAATTAACAGGTGTGCTCGTCGCCATCAATGATACCTGTTTTTCGTATAAAATGTTAAGATTATACCTGCAAATTGGATTAACCCATACCGGTGTTTATTATAACCCCTCTGTACTCTTAAGTTCTTTTATCTAGAATACTACATATGTTTTCGATCATCTTCCATTCAACTGATTAACCTCTTTTTTACACCAGTCATATGCCAAAATAAACCAAATTTTAAAAGACTGAATCCTTTTCACTCTTTGCATTACTTTTGTTTCGGATGAAACTCGTATGTCTGATTTCATCCCATCATATTTCATACCTCCACAAAATATCAAGATGAAAACAAAGATAAAAGCGTTTTTCATAAGTGATTTTGTGGTTGCATTGTTGTTGGTTTTTTTTTGGTTTTTTTGGGGGGTGTATTTCATTTATTTTCATATTTATTCATGATTAATTTATCACCCAATATACTCCTTTCGGACTGCACAGTTTAAGTACCAATAATTTACAAAGTCTGAAAACTGCTGTCAGATTAAATGACCAAGTTCGATAACTGATGCAAAAGAGTAATTAGCCAGTTAGAGCTACGGGATGTAATTCACGCATTGCCCGAAACTACGGAAGCGTATTAGGGCCATCCTTTTTTTTTCAAATTGTCTACTTTAATTTTGGAGTTATCAACTTTAATCTTGGAATTATCAACTTTAATCTTGGAATTTCCAACTTTATTCTTGGAATTATCAACTTTAATCTTGGAATTATCAACATTAAACTTGGAAATTCCAACTTAAATCATGGAATTACCAACTTTAATCTTGGAAATGACTGATTTTTTACTTCTAGCCCATAGTTTATTGTGTTTCTCCGTATACGTAATCTACTTATGATTATTTTCGCGGCTAAATTTTTTTGTTGAATGTTACAGAAAAATAGACGTGTATCTAAAGTCTTGGATATCTTCACGAAGCCTAATATCCATGAAAAAGGGGGGGGGGGGTAACTTCATATTAATGGGTATACGCGGATATGCCAAAAATATGGGTCATAATTTTGCGAGATTATATATATATGACACTAGTTTTTAATGACATTCTATATTGATATGCATTGTTCTTTCAGAACTTTATATCGATTTGGGGTATGTTCTACATATCTTATATAAACATGTTATTGGAAGTCTTATATTAATATGGCCAATTGTGGTATGTTAATCAATCAGGGGCTTTATATTTACATAAATATAAAGTCCCTGAATCTATGCATTTTAAAATTAAAATATTGTATGTAAGTAAAGATCATTCTTTGTATATATTTATATATAAATATAGGTACCAAATATTAGTGAATGTTATATAAAAATGGGTACATTTTTTTAGGCAAAAATGGCACACCCCTACCAAAATTTCGACGTCAACCCGCCACCCCCCGTTGCTAATGTTAAAATTTCAATATCCAGTTTTAATTATGTATGCAGTTGATATGATATTATTACGTGAGTATTTCTGTATTGGCCTTGTTATTGGTCCGAGGCTTGCTGTATTGGCCTGAGGCGAAGCCGAAGGCCAATACAGCTGGCCGAGGACCAATAACAAGGCCAATACAGAAATACACGTAATAGTGTCTTTATTAATTAACTACAGTGTTACAATATTTTTTTTATTTCATTTCACAAGAGATAAACATTTTTACCTTGAAGTGGAACTATCCAAATCTCAGTTTCTTTTTATAAGATGCTCTATCTAATGATCTGGTGTCGTTTCCAGGTGTCTTCAGCATTTTCTCATCTGATGAATTTTTCTACCCTTTCCAGTCACTATAAAGTGTTACAATTTAAATTTAGACACAACACATAAATAGTAATTGGAAAGGTACTGCCATTGCATGTGTTATGCAGAAACAAACTGAAAAAATAATGTAGGAGTTGAAAATGATACAACTATCCATAAGCCAACTGACCAAAGAACGAAGATTTGCACAATTACAGGTCACCCTTCCAGAAAGCATATGCCTGGTTCGGGTTTAAACATAAATGACAGTTTACAAAACATGAGAAGCGAAAGTAAACAGTAAATCGATTTGTACCATCGTGAAATTATGAGGTCGACAAGAAATGAACTTTGTGATCTAATCTACTCGTTTCCCAAACCTGAAATAATTCCATCGTCTGCTTTCAAAATGCTTTTTAAATGAATGTGACCGTCTTAAGCCTGAAATATATGCCATACTGAACGTTTCAGCATGTTTATGGTGAGTAGGAAAACTGCGTCTTCCAAACAACTGTTTACTTTCAGTTTGTGTTTATCGTGACTTTCGATCTAAAAACTAGAGACGTTCAGAACTCGGCCAATACAGAAAAAAAATCTATATTGGCCGAGTTATTCTGTATTGGCCGAGTTGACACCTTTATATTGCATAGGCAGTTTTCATCATATTAAGTCCAATAACAGTGTAGTTAATTAATAATGACCAATACTAAATGTGTTAATCAACCAAGTGTAAATGCTTTTGTGGTGATTTGTTTAAGTCTAAGTGATCAGTTTTAGCTCATTTCGAAAGGATACTTGGGGTTTCACTTGTACATATTCGAAATATTTCTTTTATTTTTAACAATAAATGTATTAGAAATTGCAATCAAACCTTTTTTGATTTTTAACAAGCTACGAGATTATACCAATAAAAAAACTCAAAACAAACACATACCTTATAACAACAAATAGGACCATCCCCATCTCGGCAAAAAAAAAAATACATAAAATATCCAGTATATCTTTAAGATAAAGAAATTAAAAGAAAGAAATGTGAAACAATGATTTTATATTTTTACATGTATTATATAAAACAGCTTATGAAATAAAACATAAAATAGTTGCAACATTAAATTGTTCATTATTCGATATATCTATATAACTTTACCAACGCTTACAAATTTCCACGTATGTATATCATATCCGTATCCAATATTGATTTCGCGACTCGGTAGCTTTAATAGACGATATTACCACCGTGACGGTAACTATGTAAATAATTTCAAGATAACGAAAGTAGGAAATACCCACAGATACCTATGCAGCATTTAGCAAGTTCTAAGTAACATTTAGATAGACTACAAGACTTGATAACTCAATAACTTTATTTAGAGTAACATTCTAATTTAATTTTATCTTTTTTGTAAAATTATGACACAAAGACAACGAGAAAACTTTTACAGAACATCAAGTGTTATCGTTGAACATGGGAAAGAAGTACTCGTATTATTACTAGACGATGATTTATCCACGCGAAACATTACTTTAATAGATTTTATAGATCAAAACCAGCATGAAATTTATCATCTTTGTTATAACGAAGATCCGTGTTGTAAGTGTACGGGAGGAACACTCTCAAGAAATACTCCTTCACAAAGAGTACTGCTTCCAAGTCATCTAGATATTTTGTTTGATAAAACAAAACCGAAAATTGCAGGTCATAACTTTAAAAGTAGGTCAAAGCTCTGTTGTAGTTCTGCTAAACAATCCTTAACAACAGCCTGTCTAGACCTCACACTTTTGAGATGCCTGTTAATCAACTTTGCTCCTACTTGCACTGGTGCTGTCCGGAAAGACGTCAAGGACTTAATCAAGTACAGGAACAACCTTCATGGTCCCTCAAAAGAGGGGATTATTTCAGATGCAGATTATTCTGTCTACAAGAAACAAATAGAAAGTGTCTTACTTTCAATTGCCAAGCAATGCAACAAAGAAGAGGTAATAAGACAAAAGCTGAATGAGGCAGCGGTCAGAACAATGGATGATACAATGTACATCGAATATCGAAATACATTGTCAGATGAGATCCCCTGTGAAAAGGATACTAAGAAGGTAACTTTTAAAATCTAATCTTTAAGATTAATAAGGTTATTTTATCTTTAAAATTCAGAAATGATTCTGATATTTTTTTAAGTCTTACTGAATTAACTTTTCAGTTGAAAATTAAGCATTCGTCGTAAATACAATTTCAAAGATTCGTGAAAAAATCTGAAAATATTTAGAATAGAGAGCAAATATGAAAATGAAAAATCATTAATATATACAATAATACCAAGGCACGAAAACGACAAAAACACAGATAGCATTTACAAATCAATAAACAGGGAAGTCATCAACACGTACCCTTACCAAACACCGGGGGATAACTCCCGTGCTTTACAAATCTTTACTCGGTAATATAATGTTAAAATTTTGTGAGGGCAAAGTTTTTATCTTTTATTTATTGCACAATACTTTTCCCCATTGAACACCTGCATCCTGTATTAAAAAAAAACGGTTACCTTTGTTTTATGTATGGTATTTAGTTAGTACTTACTTCACAAAAACGATACTAGTAATCATAGTTTGACTGCTATATGAATATGTACAGACAATGATGACAGGCAGTTTCTATTATTGAAGACTATTGAAAGTGAGCTATGCACAATAACATTATACTTTGACTACAAGTATAAAAACAGTATTGTTATATTGATATAATAGGTATTCGACAATTTGAAAGGTGATGCAGAAAAACTGTCAGAGAAACTAAAGCATGTAGAGAGGACAGCAAATGCAAATTGTAAGTTTTAAACTGTTTTGTGTTTTGATTATTATTTGTTTTTATTTCCTATGCATTTAGTCAATTGAAAAGAAGGCAAATGGTGCATTTATTAATGACACAACATCCCTACACAAAGTCTTGTCTCCAGAAAGAAAATATTGTCAGTTAAAAACAAACATGTTTGAATTCACGAGCATTGTAACAAACAACCTAAAAAAGATATTCTCATTTGCCTTAATTTATGTTTATACAAAAGAATGAATTACAACAAGGCAGCGGAGTCAATAATGTATTTGTTTGTGTTTAGGGGGAATCATAAGGGGTAGGTCAATGATATTTGGTATGTAGCTGTATTAGCATTGGCACATCGCATTATTATTTGGGTCCACTCCCTCAATCATGGTCTATTGACTTTGAAACCTTTGCTTAGTTTACATATATTAGTTTGTAATAATGTCATTTTAATGGTACCACTAGTGGTAAGTCAGTGGTATTTCGTTTGTATATGCATAAGCATTGGCACATCCTATTTCCAAAGAGATTATTTGGCTCCGCCCCCTCAGTCATGGTCTATTGACTTTGAATGTTTTGCATAGTTTATATGCAATAGTTTGTGATGAGATCAGTTTAAGAGGAATCACTTATATTAAGTCAGTGATATTCGGTATGCTGTTGTATTAGCATTTGCAAGTATCATTTCCGTGGAGATTGTATGACCCCATCCCCTCATTATTGTTCATAAACTTTAAAAAAAATTCCATTGTTTACAAGTTAAAGTTTGTGTTTTGGTTAGTGTAAAGTGCACCTCTTCTCATAAGATAATGGTATTTGGTATGCAGTTTTATAAGCATTGGCATTTCTCATTCCCATAGAGTTTTTTTTATCATGCACATTAAGTCATTGTACAATGTTTTGCAAAGTTTACATTTTTAAATATTGCCATTTGGATTCAATATTTGCATAATACTACCAAAATTATAAAAAAAAAGGCGAGACATATCTCTGTGTCAACAGTTTATTCTCCTGAACCGGTTTGTCTGTAAAATGTAACCATGCACAACATAAAAAATCTTTCAGCAATTCAAAGCCTTCGACTGTCAGGATAAAAATAAGCAGGGAAAGCGTTTTTAAATGCTATTTTCATAATCTCATAAGTTTTTTACCTGAGGTTCATCATAATGTTATCAGTCTTTTTTCTATTGGTTTCATTGACCAATTGATATTTACTGTTTTACTATTGGTATTCACACATTAATTAAAACAAGCTAAACATTTACAGCTAAGATAACTGGAAGCCAAGTTGCAATTGCAAGCAGAAGTCAAATTCTAGGATGTCAAATTGACCTTCGGCTATGACCTCAATTCCTTGGTCTCAAATAAAATATCAACATATCAACTGTTCATGACTGATGGGTTTATCTTTATACAGGTTATTTTTAAATTGAAGAAAGAAACTATATAAAGTCAACATTAACGTTAACCAAATTTAGTGTATTGTTGGTGCACTATGCCGAAGAAAAACAATTTGTTAAAAATATGCAGCTAATATTCACAATGATTTCAGATGGTATCTATTACAATCAAAAACAATAATCTATTATAACAAAACCATAATGCCAAAAACTCTACCAACAATTAAACTAGGCTTATGTGACCAGCAATTTTTTCCTTTGAAATTTTTGAGGATGAGGAGGAGGAATAGAAGGAGGAGGAGTATATGGTTGTATTAATGATGATGTTAATGGTGGTGGCAGTGGCGGCGATAGTAATTGCTGCTTTAATTTTCGCTGGAAGTATGAAATTTTCCATCCATATTTACGCGAGTTTATCACCTTACGATCTTTTGTACGATTTTTTTGTCAACTATTTGTTTGCTTGTTTTATGTATCTTTCTTCTATCTTGGTATTTATGTATGCGAATAGGACTATTGTCATACTTATATTGTTTCATAAAATCACCATTCAAGTTGATCCCGTCTTTACTGTTAATTCTATTAAAGCGTGGTTTCTTAACTACAGTTTTCTGTATCTTATTCAAGTTGTTAAAAAAGGAATTTCTCTGATTCCAAAGTTTATTTTGTTGCTCTTTGCTGTTTCCATTTTCCTCGAGGTAGCCAGTTGTTAATCCGTTATAACCCGGTTATCTTTTGCCTTTACCAAAACCACTGAAAGTTACGAGACCAATTTTGCTGGCGAAAAATCTCGAAAAGACCCCCCCTCTCCTAATAGTTTCTATCATGCTAACTGAGCACATTTGCCCAGGTTAATCGTTTCCTTACTCTACTTTCCTTCCTTTTGAAATCACGCATGCGATTAAGTCGTCGTGAATTGCTGTCCGCATATAAAAAAAAGAGAAATTCGGAAAGAAGCGAGCTGGTGGTATTTAAAAGGAACTTGACATGAAATGCAATTAGGCAGGTGAAGACTTTAAGTGGTTCTTAAACGCAATTTTATCACAATGCAAGAAGTAAAACTATTTGCGTTTGCAAATTTTATAAATTAATATTTATATAACAGTTCTACATTTTATAGGTATCTGCCTGTAGTCCTTTTCGAGACAGTATAACACGTGATATTTCGGGACCAATTTTTCAAATGTGTTTCACATTAAACATTTTCTTTTTAGATTGGAGAGGCAGAAGTATTTTGAAGAGTTTGCTGTTTTCCGTGTATTTGATTGTATGTGGTTTGACCTATTACTATGTTGATTTTCGTGCTTCTTTAGTTATGCTGTGTATTACCTTTGTATTGCATCGTTATCTATTGGCGATCATGTACAAACCTTTTGCTTTGCTTATGTCATCAGTTCTTGTTTTATTTGTCATAAGTCTTTATGACCCCGAAATTTTAGGGAAATTGAATGTGGCTATACATTTTTGTATCAATATTTTTTTCCCAATATTTTCTTTTGTCGTCACACGTTATGAAGGATTGCCGTTGTTGTTTCTAGTATATTATTTGGTTCTCTTTAAAGCTAGGTTTGAAATAAGGAATTTATCAGTATCACTAAAGGTGACGATTTTTGCATTTCCATTTGGTTGTGTCATTTTGTATTACTTTTGGCCGCATGTTTCATCGACAATTTATGAAAACTTCAAAGCTGTTATTGCCGTAATAGTAGTTATAGTTGGCTTGAAATATTTTATCTGGTAACATTACTCAATGTATACGTTTTATACTAACAGTTAAACTTCTAGACATTTAAATGAATGTTTGCAAATGTATTTAAGTTAACTTCAGATAGATTGATTGATTGATGATCGCTTAAATTTAGTTCCTTTGTCGTCAATTTCCACTTACGCATGTGCATTGACAGTCAATTGTCAGAAGGTGTGTGCACTGTGGATAAACTTTCCGTGTGACTAAGTGATAATGGTCAAACAAGCCATATTTCAATTACTTTTACGTTATATGTAAAATCAGTTTACATATAAACATTTTCGTGAAATCACATGACATGGTGTAAAGATGTGTCTCGGGAATTATCACAGACTCTACGAAAAATAAGACCACTCTGGGTATCAATTTACACTTCATTGACATTGGGCAAGATTTATGTCAAGTCCTAGTTATCATATACTAACAGATAACAGTCAAATGAATTTATATCATGGACATTTTGTGTTATGTAAAATGTGCTTCCAAATTGTCTACATTTATGCATCTTAACCTTGGTTAATAGTAAGCTGAAAGTTAAGTTCGATACCAATGAATAAAAAATCAGCTTGATTTAAGGATACATTAAGAATCCAAGAGATCAAAGATTTACTGAAAACGCTCAGACACATAAATGTGATACATTAAGCAAGGTTGAATATGTCTTGTATTTGATGCTACAGTTATTGTTATTTTTGTTTAAAGATGCTTTAATACTATAAAAATAAGGAGATGTGGTATGATTGCCAATGAGACAACTATCCGCCAAAGTTAAAATGAAGTGGATGTACACAATTATATGCAACCGTTCGGCTATTCGAGATCTCAGATACCATTTGGCCTAGAGTCATACAATTTGAAGCAATTATTTGCCACTTGATAGTAACAGTTTCTAACCAGTCAAGTGACTTGATGCAGGGATTATTTTAGGGGAGATGATAAACATTCTAATAGTGCAGTTCGTTTTTTCCCGATGTAGTCGGTAATAGTTTCGAATCGTCTGCCAATGTTCTATTGATGCTAAAAATTGGTACCGACGTGGAGTTGTCGCTGATCAGTTCTCTGATTGGACGAAAATGTAATTTTTGATGTTCGAACATACGTTTGTTTTTTAAGATTTTGTTATGTGCAGCAGGTGATAGTTTTAGATATAGATGATACTTGAGATAAAACTATTTTTTTGTTATGGCGTTGTCAGTTAATTTTCTACTTATGATCTGTTTAAGTACAATGTTCGAAACCCGCTTTTGATCTCGTTCTTCAAAATTCTCCAACCAGTAAGTTTAAAAAAAAGTTTCAACAGAAAATATTACGGATATGAACGCTTATGCTGTTTGTTGATTTATTAAAACTGCTTAAAGCGGCGGGGTTTTGTTATGAATTAAGCCGTTGTTTTTCTCAATTAAATAGTTTTATATTTTTCATGTGGCGGGCCTCTTTTAGCCGACTATATGGTATGGGTGTTTCTCATTTTTGAAGGATGTACGGTTGCCTATATTTGCTTGCATCAACTTCATTTGAATTTTGGTGGATAGTTGTCTCATAGGCAATCATACCACATCTTCTTATTTTTATATAATTAACTATAGAAATATAGCATACTCATGCAAAAGCAACGTGAAAGAAGATTATAAAATATTTATGAAAACATAGAAGAGATGTACAGACCACCATGACTCAATAATCACAAAACATTTCACACTCTGCTGACGAAAATTCCGTTAGAAACATCTAAATTTAAGTTATGGGGTAAAACATTTACATTCAAACTAAGAAATACATAATTAATCTTGACATCATTTCGTATTAAAACTACTATCTTTATTTTTTGTGTGATGATATTTATCAGAAGAAAAGGCATGTTATCATTTTTACATTTGCCAAACACTTTTTTTATTACAAATCATTCAAAGCCATTGTATGGTCAGAATTGCTTAACAACAAAGCCATGGTATGTGGATTTCAGAATTCATTAAAACATTGTTTTCTTAATTTCTTTTCAGAAGAAAAATTATATTTTGACATGTTGAATAGTTAAATAATATTTATAAAGCAATGGAATGGCAATTTTTCAACAAATGTGATTTTTGATAATGAAATTTTGTTCATGTTCCCGGATATCTTTTTTGCATACAAAGTCATAGTGTTTTGTTTAACTGGATGTGTGACATTTTTTGCGTTATCATAATATTAAACAAAGAATCCAGGTTCTCTAAGAATCAAGTAGATTAAATTAGTTTTATATATGATACTTTAGATTTTTTTATCACTTGTTAACTTACATCTAACATAGATTTTTTTAAATAGATCCTTTCGGATGCAACTATCATTGTTAACGTCATCAATTTTTTCTAATATTGCAGATTTTATTTAAATTGTCTTGTTTTATTGTCTGTTCAATCATATATGTAAATAAACTCATCATAGATACCAGTTTTAAAATTATAATAAGTCATTAGATTTATATTCAAATAAAAGATATCGTAGTATTATTTTGTTTACTTCTGTATGCATAGTTTGTTTCACACCATTTAATATTCCAACATTCAGTTTTTTATCACAGTCAAACATCGGTAGATGAGTCCAAGTACACTTGTGTCTGGTTTTTTTTGCTCGTGCTAAAGATAGTGACTCTTCCGATTTATATTTCAAGATAAGGAAAGTATGTGTACCCTAGCTACAGTTTTCTGGAAACTGATCTTTTGCAAATTTTTCTTAGATTTAAAAGCAAAATTTCAAATATTTTAACTACACGTGCCTGACTGCATATAATTGAGTGGTGGGGCTCTTCTCTCGTTAATCAACAGTTAATCATGCGTGTCGTACATTGAAGCAAATACGTCAAACAACAGTACAATAGAGCCATCAAATAACAGTTAAACACGCGTTTCGTACAATGAAGCAACGGTGTCGAATAACAGTAAAGGTTCATCAGAAGGAATTGAACAAAATGGCCCCGTTTACATAAAAAATACTCTGAGTACACACAAACCTGTGCAAATGGTAACATTCTAAAGCATGGCATGAACTAGATAATCAAGTTTTAAAGTACAAAAATAAACAAACACCAGAATTTCATTTGATACGGTCAACTCATTTACACAGTTTATTTCACCTTTTGTTGCGCAGATAAAGTATCTATTGTACATCTAGTGTCCATGTCAATTTAAACAACTCACACATATTATTCATCTTCGCTAGCCAAAGGTTACGATCCGGTCTCCTCATCTTTGCACTTGGCAGATTAAGACATAATTTGTTTATACAGCATTGTGCCATCTTGCGACAAATAAGTCCTGCTAACTCCAACTATATCATTCTTGACCAATGACATCACACGTACGATCGTTATTTCGGACGTGAAAAAAGCTTTAATAGTGTCACTAAATATCGTCGTATGTTTTTGGGCAATAGTTTTTTTTTACATTTTTCATTCACACGTGATCATCTTTAATGCACTTTTTGATTGGGTGCAACCAGTTACAACTGAGACCAATTGAAATCATTACATCGTGTATCAAAATTCTGACGTAATCTGCCAAGGATGAAAATGGCGAAACCTGGTTGTAACACTTGACTAGCAAGTTGATATAATAAAACAGGGGAACACTTTTTTAGAACATAGATTATTTTGGAAACGAAAAAACCCAAACAAATCTCAAAATACATACACATTTATAATTTTCTGATAAAATGCATTTAACATTTAATTATCTAGTTCCTGTCATGATTTGAAACTTTACCGGGTGCACTGGTTTGTCTGTAATCAAAGTAAATATTTTGAGGTGTAAATACGGCCATATTTGTCAAATGGTTATAATTACATAACATGTCCGTTTCATTATAATACGTTATTTTGATTGGCAAACAGCAATCTCGCGTCATTCTGAAATTAACCTTCATATCAAAATGAAATGTAACATTAATGATGACAGGAGCTTCCGAAATAAAATGCACAGGTAATTAAAAGAAAAACTTGATAGAAATCGTGGTTTATGATCCTAGCAAAAGAAATGTAATTATAAGTATTGAATGCTTCTTTTAGTAATTTTATAGGGTTGTAAAAGCATTGACCGTGCGCACATTTATAGAATGAAGCGCTTCCGCGCTTCATACAAAATGTACTTCGGTCAACGCTTAATATCCCCATTAATATACAAAAAGAAGCATTCAATTTTTAAATGATGAACCATAATTACGCCAGTTGTGCAATGAAGCTAAGGCGCCAAAAACGTAATGATGCGTGACATAAATGAAACAAAAGCGTTGAATAAGATTTAATCACGCGTGTCGTACAATGAAGAAAAAAAACATCAAATATACATGACTTAATTATTTTGAGTGCGAGAAAGTAAGAAACTGTTTCTGAATCAAATCCTATGAAAATAAGAAGATGTGGTATGATTGTCAATGAGACCAGAGACCAAATGACGTAGAAGGTTAGCAACTATAGGTCACCGTACGGCCTTCAACAGTTAGCAAAAAGTAAAATAACAAAAATACCGAACTCCAAAGAAATTCAAAACAGGAAGTCCCTTATCAAATGGCAAAATCAAAAGATCAAACACATCAAACGAATGGAAAACAACTGTCATATTCCTGACTTGGTATAGGCATTTCCTTATGTAGAAAATGGTGGATTAAACCTGGTTTTATTGTTTAGCTAAACCTCTAACGCAAAAAAAAAATGCATTAAATTGACAATAATGTGTGAACAAAACAAACAGACCTCCCCCAGTAATAGGTAAAACTTTCAAAAATAGGGGTTCAGCAGTCAACATTGTGTTATAATCTTAATAACTATAAAAATAAACAAATATGTCATCAAAGAAAATCAAAATAACAGATAGACAAAGCTCATAAGCAAAAATGAAAGACAAGAATACAAAAAATTACCATAGCACACAATGGCGGGATGTATAAGTACCGAGCCATGTCAAAAGGATATTACCAAAAATGGACTAAGACCGTACTTTGACCTATAGTGGTTTACTTAACAAATTGTGACTTGGATGGAGAGTTGTCTCATTGACACTTATACCACATCTTCTTACATCTATAAACATTAAAGGTTAATAATTTACAAAGACAAATAAAAGAAGACTATAATACGTTATTAAGATGCTAAACAACGACAGTACCTAGAATATATACTTTAAGACCATCATGTATTATTTGTTAACCATTACCGCTTAGCAAGCTTCAACTGGCCCCGAAAGACAAATGTAAAACAATTCAAACAAGAAAACTAACGACCCGACTTAAGTGAAAAAAACAACAAAAACAATTAGTTTGTTTAGAAAATGGAACACAATAAATGGAAAATTACAGTACGTCATTAACAAGTTACTTCAAGTTGAACTATAGTGGTTTACTTAACAAATTGTGACTTGGATGGAGAGTTGTCTCATTGACACTCATACCACATCTTCTCATATCTATAAACATTAAAGGTTAATAATTTACAAAGACAAATAAAAGAAGACTATAATACGTTATTAAGATGCTAAACAACGACAGTACCTAGAATATATACTTTAAGACCATCATGTATTATTTGTTAACCATTACCGCTTAGCAAGCTTCAACTGGCCCCGAAAGACAAATGTAAAACAATTCAAACAAGAAAACTAACGACCCGACTTAAGTAAAAAAAAACAACAAAAACAATTAGTTTGTTTAGAAAATGGAACACAATAAATGGAAAATTACAGTACGTCATTAACAAGTTACTTGGAAAGTATAGTAGAAAGTAATTATTACACAAATACCAATACAAAGGCGCCTTTTAGAGATTGTATTAAGTTACTTCGAATTGATCTTAGATTGAGTCGTTTCCATCAACATGTCATGAAATCTCTGTTACCGAAATTTAGTCGATGAGTTGATTTACATATTACAAGAGAAATCAAGGAGGACATGGATTTTTCAAGACCATTTCAACAAACCTGTAAAATCGTTCATTTTTTAAAATCTGGTTCCAAAGTCAATGGGATATTGAACAAGTTATTATATGAGAATATATATTTTATAAATGATGCCTTGCAATGAATATTGGAGTTTTTCAATTTATTTAAGAAGCGCCCCAGAAAACTCGTCACAGCTCCGACTTGGTCAAACTAAAAATTTAAAAGCATATCTATACCTCTCCACTAAATGCGATATTTCGTAATAAGAGCAATACTAGTTGGCTCAGAGTAAAGTATCGGGTAGGATGACGTATTTTCCGGTGGGCAGTCATTTTGTGAGCTGGTGCGTTTAAAGCAGTACAATGCAGTGATATTTTAAAAAAATGCATATTTTTACTTTTCATTCATTGGTTAAAATTAATGAGCAGTCATGCTAATTCTGTATTAAACATTTGAATCACCACTTAGTTCTTATTAATCAAGTTGAGGCATCTTTTCGAAAATTTTACGGATGTTTTTAGGATTTGGTTGAACTTCAATGAATATCTGTGTTACGGATGACCTTGTTTTTGGTCCCAAAATCCCCTTCTCTTCTCCTTGCTTGTAACAATGCAACTTATTACCAAAATTTAACTTGCCATGCGTAACAAGACTGGTTCTACATATCAAGCAGGATTTGCTTATTCTTCCAGAGAACACGAGGCTACCTAGTTTTTTTAGGGGATCGTACTGCTTAAAATTTTGAGTGTTGTATTTCATTTTTGAGCTGTATGTGTTGTTTTTCCCTGTACAAGTCTTGTATATTATTGATTTAAGAAAACAGTGTTTCATTCCAAACTCTTAAATTCTGTCAAGAGTAATTGATTAAAGAATTTAAAGGTGGTTTATGAATTATGTAGGGTTAGAAGCTGTCTTTGCCAATCTGCTTTTGTGTGATCTTTGTCAGCGGGTAAGACCTGTCAACGTATTTAAAAAAGGAATAACCACTGCTGCATGATGTACTGATCCTTCTGGTGGTCACCCAGTTTTTCGCGAGTTTATTGCCTCTCGATCTTTAAATTATAGGAAATCCTTTGTTGACTCTTGTTTATATTTCCATCGTTAATGTTGTTTGTTTGTCCTCCACTTGTGGTTCTGTATTGCTCCAACTGTATATTTCTCTTTGATGTTCTGTGAATATGAATTGCAAAACACTTACTGAATGAAATCGACATTTTTAATTGTGATTAAGGATAGCCTAAAAGCCGATGGTGTTTCTTCTATTTTTTCTCTAAAATTGAAATTTAAATTGTGCGCCACAATGTCGAAAATTCAGATCTTATTGTTTATTGATGCAACAAAAAATTTATATCAATTCAGTGAATTGAAGACATGCTTATGAAATATATATTCAATAATTGGAATTTGACATATCGAAGCATAAAAAATAAAGCCAATACCTAAATACTTGCTACTGATCAGATAGTTTCTTCGTGAACTAATAGTATAAAATCAATGGAACCGACCCAGAGGTAGTTACTTAGACGGAGGATACCAGTTTCAGTGCTAGGCACACGTGTTATATTGAAATAACCTTCTTG